CGAATACTCTTAGCGATTCAATTAATGTGTCTGGTAAGCTGATATCATTTTCTGTTGAGATGGGTAATGATATTGAATACAAATTTATCTTCTTTCGCCTATCTGTAATTGTAACCCATGAGTTACATTATGAACAATCAAAAGCCTTCCGTATCGTGTGCTTAAGAGTCCAGACTACTGACACCGCGGGCAGCTTAACATCAATATAATGCAATGCCCGCGTGGGAAAAGTGCGGGCAAAAAGTGTACTGCTCATGATTGGTAATGTATATATATGTATGTATAATATAAACTTAGATATAACAGAAGAACCGATTTAATTTTGAATTAAAGCAACTATTTAACTGCCAAGTAGGAAAAATATTAATTTAAAAAAAAATGTTAGTTGAAAATAAACAAGTGAATCTGTTTCCTTGTTATATCAAATAAAATGTTGCAAATGATTTTAAATTATGTAAAAATAAAGTTTAGAACTAGGATCACAAGGTGCATATTTGTGTGTAAATCTGGATTATTTGAGTACATCTGTTTCCTTGCAATATGAAATAGAATGTTGAAGATGATTTTAAAATATGTATATGTTATAATTTTTAGACCTAAGACCGCATGTTTGGGTTGTTTGATTTCAGTGGATGGGAATTGGACAGAATGGAGTGAGTGGTCAAATTGTTCAGTTCATTGCGAAGGTGGCAGTATTACTCGAGAACGCTTCTGTACAAATCCTGCTCCTGCAGCAAATGGCAAAAATTGTGAGGGAAATGCTACAGAGATTGTTTTTGGATGTAACCCAGAGAAATGTGGTGGTGAGTGTTGACAATTTGATCAGCCTCTGTACCCACGAGAAACCATAGAAACACTTCCAGTTGATAATTTCTATCTTAGCAAGTTGATTTCTAAATTGAATTCAATATTGTTTTTTTATTATTTTTTTTTCAATTTTTAATTTTTTTTTTGCTTTTGGTTAGGTGCAATACCCCTGAAATTAGCTAAAATATATTTTGGAAATTCCGTTGAAAACGAAAGTTATGTCTGTAAAGATAAACTGATAAACTGATTTTTTTTCTGTCCTGTCTTATTCCAACCATGTTCCAACAACTTTACAGTATTCCATCAATTTATATCACCTAGTCAATATTTGAGTTGAATGATTTATGAGTTTCCCAATTCTAACACTGGCAGTGTGGCAAAAAGATAATAGAACATAGCAATACAGCAAATATAATGACACATTGTAATATAGGGCCTATATGCCATATCTGATGTAATTGTGTATGTTGCTCATCATAATATGTTAATTATAGGCCTATTCCTATTTATTGATCGAGTTTCTAGTCCACATATCAAGCGCCCTGAGCATCTTACATTAGATGGATATGT